GTAAGTATTAGTAAACAAAATTGGTAATTTGAATAACAAATTAATAAAATTATTGAGCCATATATATTAAGAGATCCAGATAATTTTATCACAGTAAATTATATAGTTACTTCTATTCATATTCAAATAGAATTATTTTTCATTTGCATATGCTATAAAAAACAAATTAATTAAGTACTGTCTGAATATGTAAAAAAGTAAGTGAAGAATTTGCTGTAATAAAATTATATGTATTACTAGAATTTAAATTAAAAAAATTAAAAAAAAACGTTTGATCAAACCTAGAAAGTTAAATTCATTATAAATTACAAATGTTTTTATTACCTATACTTATTCAAAATAAGTCGAAATAAACATTTTTCAACTATACAAAACGGAAGGCATAAATATCATAAATAATGCATTAGTGATGTGCATTCGACCCTTGAGGTCAGTCGACCACAATAGTGGACCTTTCGACCTCTTTTGTTCGAATCGTTTCCAAGTTCCCAACGATGAATGAATTTTCATAACACACATAGATCGAAATCGAATAAACAAAAGTAAAACTGAACACCTGGGTTTAGACAAATGGGTAATGAATATTATTATAATCAAATAATCGATCGAAAATAATCGACTACTAGAATAAAATTTAGCATTTGTGACGACAGAATTTCTTAAATTTTGACCAGATTCTAAACTTTGATGAATAAACCTTGATGAATATTTTTTATAGCAAATTATTTTCTGAAGGACCCTCAGTGATAGAGTTCGAATCGTCTATTTTTTTTACCTTGTATATTTTTTTCGTCCTTCCTTAAACCGTAAATAAAAAATGGTCAACTGTGCAGATGACCCAATCTGATTAGAAAAAGTCTAAGGCGATTTTTATCTAAGATCGATATTGTGTTTTTGTACGGATTTCCTACCGGGGGTGAAAAAAGTAGAAAACATTTTTTTATAGTTGTAAAAAAGTAAACTTGACGTAATAAAATTTGCCAAGACATGGACGGAAGACGTAAATTTTCATTTAAATGTTTAAATAAACCTTGATAGATTTCAAGAAAGATTTCGAACTGAATTTTTTAAGAAATTTAAGAATTTTCTAACAACAATATTTGTAAGTAGACGGCAAAAGTTGTTGAACCTTGATTCTTACAACGTGGTTATCAGGAGATAAATAAAAAATGTTTGAAAATCCATAACAAAAGTATTTTCTTTCGTCTTTATTTATTTTGGTCGTGAGCACTGTAGTTTAGTTTACGAGACCTGAATATAATTATCAAGTATACGTTATTTAAGATGTATGGTTAATTTCAAGTTAGTATCAATAGTTTTTTTCATATAACCTTGATAAAAGCTTACACCTGATTGGGGTAAAAAGGACCAACTAAACCTTTACCCCGGCAAAGGTGTAAACAATAAAAAGTAGTGAATAGAAATGTAAATTCAGTGAAAAAATGGAAAAAGATAAATAAATTTAAAAAAAAATAAATAAATAGTTGTTGCAGCTCTGGAATACCAGATCAAGGTTTTATACAGAGACGTCTTTGTAAAAGATGTACCCATAAAATTCACATTTTGCATTGGTTGAATAATGTAGCTATTATTTCGTAAAATTTCTTCAAAATTAAAAATAAAACATTAGATCTCTTCGCCCCCTGGCCGTCCCTAATTACTCTGCCTATGGAGTAAAAACGACCAAGTGAGAAATTTTTGAAAAACAGCAAAAAAAAACCAATTTTTCAATGACGGATTTAGCTGGGAGTTTTACTGAACATAGTCAGATAGTTGTTCGTTTGATATTTGTTAATTGTTGTAATGTAATTGGTTTGATTTTCATAATATAATTGCTCTAAATCAAATTGGGCCTTTATTCCCAACCTATCCTATCACAAACTAGTCTCAGGTTCGATTTCAACTTCGGCCTACTCGATATCAAGCAGTACTTCAATAATGTTATATTCAAAATTTTAAACATTACTAAATTTCAAAAATTGGTTTTATTTATACATATTCTAATTTTCAAAAATGTATATAGAATTTGTAAGCACACTACATAGAAAATAAATAATTTATTGGCAAGAGCCTAAAATAATTTTTTGAGCTTTAATTTGCTTATAAATACTATTAGTATCTAATGGATACGGTATCTATTGATTTATAAGTATCTAATAGATATAGTATCTATTTATTAATTTATTCATAAGCTAATTATAATAAATAAATATTATTAGTCTCCTGCTAATAAAATATTAATTTTCTATGTAGTGTACTCACAAAATTTATATACGTTTTTGAAACTTAGAATATGTCTTAAATAAAATCAATTTTTAAAACTTTGAAAACTCAACTATAATATTATAAAGTACTGTATTTTTATATACGTTTTTGAAAATTAGAATATGTCTCAAATAAAATCAATTTTTTTAATTTTGGAAACTCTACTATATTATAAAGTACTGTATTTTTATATACGTTTTTGAAAATTAGAATATGTCTTAAATAAAATCATTTTTTAAATTTTGGAAACTCTACTATATTGTTATAAAGTACTGTATTTTTATATACGTTTTTGAAAATTATAATATGACTTAAATAAAATCAATTTTTAAAATTTAGAAAACTCAACTATAGTATTATAAAGTACTGTATTTTTAATATATAGTGTACAACTCTACATACATATGATATAAAACAGTTATTATATCCTTAATATGTCCTTATTATATGTGAAATGGACCAATAGTACACTCTAATAGGGATGCTGCGCACTAAAGTCGCGAATCGAAATCTTTGCTCGAACAACAATAGGGCGTTCCCTTCAATCTTTATACATTATATTATATTATATATAATATTATATTATACATCGATCACACACTATACGGTTTATCGCATAATACGCTACTTTGCGTCGATCCTTACACTTTGAAATATATTGCATAATACGCTTTCTCGCTTAAGACGGAATTTTGGTCCAGTTTCTGGAAAATCGTCTGAACAAAGTTCTATGAGCTATTAAAAGTTATCTTGATATATTACATTTCTGAAAACGGTTCAGGCGTTTTTGGGAAAACGTCGATCGAATGTCTAATTTTGACAAATGACAAAAAAACGATACCTATTTTTGCAGAATTTGACGAATTTTTCAAATTGAAGAAATCGTAGGGCCGTAATATTTTAGTATGATCTATAAGTCTAGGGTATCTACCGTCAAAAAAAATTATAAAAATCGTCAAAAAAAATTTTAACACTTTATTACAAGAAAAGGACTCGGCCGATCTTTTCTAAAAATTAATCAGCACCAACCAATCCAACCGTTTTTGAGAAAACGTCGATTTACGGCAAAATCTGTTCACATGCACACACACACATACTTTTTCCAATTGTTGGTCTCATTCGATTCAGAATGGCTTGAAACGTTGAGAAAACATAAAATTAGCGAATCGGATTTTTTTGAAAACATAAACTTCTCCTTCAGTAAGTTTCCTTCAATCTTTACATTAGGGGTCAAATGGCAAAAAAATAAAAAACAATATTATTAAAAAACGACTAATCTCCTACTGAGTCTGATTCTTTTGCATGATAATTAAAATATTATAATTTCTGACACTCCCTGACCCTTTTACCTTAAATGACTTTTTTGTAAACCTCAAATATTATAACATTAGCTTATAGATCATTATCTCTATTGCGAAGAAACCGCCCGGCCGATCTGTGCCAAAAACTAATCAACACGATTTCCAACAAATATCCTTCGAACGATTTTTAAATTTTCAAAATCGGTTCAGTATTTTTGCAAAAACGTAGCCAAATAATGTTGCATATTTCTGCTATACTCAGAAAAAAAAAACTGCTCAGCCGATCGTCTTGCAAAACTATAAAGCGAGTTTTTATTATGTTTCATGGATGGCATTTACATTTTTGAAGTCGGATTTTCTTCTGAAAGTAATTATGGTAAATTAAAATGTTATTTCTTCCTGAAATTTATAGAATATATTTAATATAAATATATTCATTATACTAGCCAGTTCATTTTTCATTCTTTAGGTCAAAAAACGGTACAATTCCTATTACCATATTGGTGACTCAAAATATTTTACAATGTAAATCGTTTAAACAAAATCAAATCAAATGCATATTTATGTCTTACAAGAAAGTTTAAAATATTCTTTTTGTTTCTCGGATTAGCATTTGACGTCGAAAAAAAACTCCATTAATTTTGAATCCATTAAATTGGAAGAGCCAGACTTTTGCACGTGCTCTACTGAATATTTAATAGTGTGAGAGAATTTTTTACTTTTGGGACCTTTTTTTTTAAAAAAAATGTAGGATATATATATATATATATATATATATATATATATACTAGCATACCCGGCCACGCTATGCTGTGGCTATTATTAAAATCCATCATTTGAAATTACAACCTTAAGGAAATTCTAAACCTTGAAGAATTTTTAAAATTTAAACGCTTATTTTAGGCCTATAACATTCATGTTATTTTAAACTACAGAATTTTCAGTTATACAAAGTTTCATCAAAATCATAAATATTTTTTTTATTAAATAATAAGAAATGGTCCGGCAGATTTTTACCAATCAGAATCATGTCCAACCAATATCTTTCAAAAAGTTTCTAAATTTTTAAATCTTTTCCGGATTTTGGAAAAAACGTGGTCGACGAATTTGACACCATTTTGCTAATTTCAAAAAAACGTTTTGGAAGATCTTGGCAAAAAAACTAAACAATGCTATTCCCAATCGAGATTCATCAAATTTTGAGAAAACGCCGAGGAAAAGTCAAATTTTGTCCCACATGTATACACATACACTTTTCCAATTTTTTGTGCCAAACGGTTTAGAATGAATTGTAACGTCAAGAAAATATAAAAATCTCTAGAATTTAACCAGGAATTAAAAACACTACTACTGATATTTAGGCCTACGCATTTTAAATCAAACTTCTTATTATTTTAGCATAAAAACTTATATTTAAGTCAATTTACTTCGTCCAGTTCCAAATACTACTTACTAATGTAAGACAGTATTATTATTTACAATTTTTAAAAGTACAATTTTAATTTACAATTATTTTTTTAGACTAATTAAAATAAAATTTATAATTCTAATTTATATTTATTGTCGAAATTGGCTGTCGAGAGCTTTTATAAACTGCGACTTTCTAATGGCAGCAGCTTCTCTTTGTATTTCTTCGTTATTATTAGAATTTAATTCCAGGAGTCCCATTAGCGATATCTGAATTTATAATTATTTAATTTATAAATTTATAAATATATTTTCAATTGTGATTAATTAATTTTGTACTAGATGAATTACTAATTTTAATCGTAAATGCAAAAAAAAAACTAAAAATTAATTTTCTACGATGGATAATGAAGCAACTACGAAATAAATACTAAAAATAATCAGTGCAGGCAAATGATTTTAAATGATAATGAATTTAATACTAAAAAATGATGATGATGGCCCATACAATGTCCCAGACATTATAAATAATCTACACAAAAATGTTGATGAGGTTCCATACATATTATATGCACTACAGAGAAACGTCAATACTTTCAATTAATGAATTTGCACTGACATAAAATTGTATGAAGAAACGTTCCAGAACTCAAAATCATCAGGGAGAAAAGTAATTTTGTTAGTAAAATGGATTAACAAAAATTTTGTTATTTGAAGTTTTTAGTTTTTCATTCATTTTCTTTAATATAATTATGTTTTATTAGCATTTTAGAGTAATTTTTTGAAGAGAGCCTTTCAAATTCAACTAATTTTGAAAATTATAAATTCGTAGTTTAACAAATCGTCCTAATTCCAGAAAATTTGGAAAAAATGTGTCATTATTTTGGACTGTTGATTCTAGAAATGTTTTTACGTTTCAAAACCTTCATTGAACTAAAATAATAAAAATTAATACCATAACCAAAAAATGGTTACAGTTTGACTCTTGCATTGATTTTATCCTAGATTTCTCAATATTGAATATTGATGGAAATGATCAACATATTTTAATTATCATAAATTAATGAAATCATATAAAATAATATAGTGAGAAAAATGAGAACAAGATGCTATTTAACCATTATGCAAATAAACTTTAATGCCATAAAAAATTATTAAGAAAATCCGAGAAAATTTCAATAAATTTAAGCGTCGTTATTAAAATGTGTTTTCTTAACAGAAATTCAATTTTATATCCATTTCATATCGAAAAAACTTTATGATACCCATTATTCACGATCATTCTATTTCAACAAAATTCAGAAAAAAAAAATTATAATAAATATTTTCTTTTAATCAATTTTATTAAAACGGCATTTCCAAAACGTAGATAATTTTTTCAGACATTTCTAAGTAGCTAGTTTTTATATATTATAAGAAATTATATCGTTTTAAATTTTATATTAGACATATGAATGTAAAAAAATATATTTTAGTACAATTCTAGGGCAAAGAACTTTCTACTTGCGTAAAAATAAACTTTAATAAATAGTTTGAAAAAATATATATCTAGTTTTAACACGTGTTAAACAAAACAGAATCATTATATTTTATTATAAATTTATATTTTGCAATCCCGATAATTATTATTATTCATTTTATATATATTACATTGTAAAAAGTAAATTTGTGTGGGTAAAAAAAGTTAAATTTTATAACAAATTTCGGACGAACAACTTTTACTCATTGTTTTTCCGAACAACTTATGTTTTGAAAAAAAATATCTACATTTTACAATTCCGATATTTATTAATAGTCATTTTTATATAATTTAAAAACGTAATAGTTTCAGGTTCCAGTTAAAAAAAATTAAACTATCCTCGAAAAAATAACACTTAACCCAAAAATTGACTATTCCCGAAAGTATAACACTTAACTGAAAATTTGATTGTTTTGTAGAATGAACCTTAATTCAAGCTTTAAAAAAATTATTTAGATTTCAGATTTTATCAAAAAATCGAGAACAAATGTAACTAAAAAAATGCGAATTATGAAACTTTAGTAGTTTTAGTCAGTGATAAAAATAGTATTGATTAAAAATTGTAAAAAAAGGCATAATTAATTATTGACTAAGGTCAATTAATATCTACAAGCTCCAAAAAATATCAATATCTAATCATTGTAAAAGTTACTTATACAACTTTTAAATATATTAATGTTCAAATAAATTCCGCCGAATTTCTTACTCACAATTTTATGTGGGCCAAATAGAATTTTAATAAAAACGAATTTTAATAGTAACACCAACATCAAAATCTTTAATATGATAATAATAAAAAAATTAAGAAAAAAATATGAATAACAAAAGATAAACGTGCAAAAATGAATCCCAAATATAAAAAAATAATAAAACTTACCGCTTGCTGACGTCTTTTACTCTCTCCACGTTTATGATGCAAATTTACAATAAATTCTAATAAGGCAGGATCCCAAATAAATGCATAATATGCATCCATTGCATCGAAAGATGTACTTTTCTCAGAAAGGCTTTTGAAAGCTAATACGTAGTCGGTTTCTTCCAAAAACTGAAATAGAAAAAAAAAGAAATAAAATAAAATAAATTAAATAAAATACTGACACTAATTATACTTAATACAACTAATTTTAACCTGCATTAAAAAATGTGAGCAATTAAACTTTTTATCATACCAAAGAATCCAAAAGTGTGTTCGAGAACTAAAAGAACTAAAAATTGGCTAATACCTATTTTTTATGTCCCATTTTCTATAAAGCCAAATAAAAAAATATGTATGACCCTGAATTTTCACCCTCCTAACACCAATTTCCATTCATTCTAGTAATCAAATCATTTTTTTGTTCTGCTTGATAACTACTATTTAATTGTCATTTTGGTGAATGTTTCCCTGTTTATTTCTATTAAAGATTTTTTGATATGAGATTGACCCCGTGGGTTAAGTTATTGTAATCGTCCAAAAATCGAAATTGAAAATTTTTACATTTCTTCACGTTTTGAAAGTTTCTGAACATTTTGGCATAACTCAGAAAAAATGAATATGTGTGTGTGTATGTATGTATAGATACCATTTTTCGTCCACGTTTTCGGGAGCACAGATCAACCAATTTGAATCGTTCAAAAAACATTCGATTCCTATTGATAGGGAGACGTAATAATTAGTTTTTGGCAAAGGCAGGTCCAGCTGTTACGAAGTTACGGAGCAAAGAGTGCAGAAAATAGAAATCGAGTTTTTGAGAGAACGGAGTATCGGATTTGAATGATTTAACAAACATTCAATTTGTAATGATAGGGATTGGTGATTGGTTTTTGGAAAAGGCAGGTCCAGCCGTTTCGGAGATACCGAGCTAAATGTGCAAATAATGGGCAAAAGTTTTTGAGAGAACTAAACATCCGATTTGAATGATTCAAAAAACTTTCTGCTTGTGTTGATGATTTTAATTTCCAAAAAAAAGAATTTAATATCGACAATAATTCGGATTTTCAAAATTATAATTCGGTACGGAAAGTTCCAATAATTTGCCTCAAGACTCAATAAATCTAAAAAAAGCATCTAATAATTTTTCTAAGCTTATGCTATAATTTTTCTCCAAAAAACCTCCAAATTTATGTTCTCTAAAGTATGAGGTCAGTTATTCCTGATATTTTTTGTGTTTTAAGTAAAACTTCTTTAATTTGTCACCAATTTTTCTAGATCTATTAATCTTCCTAGCTAAACTGGTAACTTCTTAAAAAAATTTAGATTTTTCTAACATAAAATATTGACTTAAGACTTAAGTTCATATAAACTTAATCATTTCATCAATTTTGTAATAATTTTTGAAAAGAAAATATAGAATTCTTTGAACATGTTTGTTTTTATATAAAAATAATGCAGTGAACCCTATATACGAAATAAGAACAAATCTTTGTGTATAATATTTTTCACAAAATAATAATACCTCACATTCTTTTATTATTTCCTTTTAGAGAATTAATTATACATCTGGTAGTTTGATTAGCATACTATTACTTTTACACAATTATAAAATCATAGTTGTGTAAAAATTATGATACAAATAATTTTTTAGCTGGTTGTATACCATTGAAAGAGCTCATTTACGGGTAAACATTATCGTATACAGAATATAGAATACAAAATAGCATTATTTTGAGACATTATATACCTGGAAAGTCCTAAAACTGGCTGTGAGACGAGAAAAAGACCACTTCTTTCGACACAAATTTTTGTATTACTCAAAAATCTCAAGCAAATATCTGCACAAGTTAACAGATTTAGTACCAGTTTAGGGAAGTCGGATATGACAAATCCTGTGAGACAACTCCACTCGGATTCACTCCGATGGAGGAGTTGTATCGGAGTGATAACTCCGGAGTGACTTACCCATCTCTAGTATGTATACTAAATATAGTTTACCTGGCACAAAACTGCTGCCTGAGTATTACATCCTAAACTACAGCAAGTTTTAATCATTCTCCTGATTAAAGTATCATCTATTAATGGCTTATTTAGAGGTAAAGTCATGTATTCTGAACCGACTATTATAGCTTCAATGTACTTTCTCATTGCTGACTCAAAATGTCCATAAACTGAAAAAGAAAATTAAAAATTAATAAAAATGAAACTTTTTTGGCGATATATACCATGGTCTTATAGAACTTACTGAATTATTACGGCCTTGCGACAAGTAGTTCAATTTTAAAAATTCATCAAAGTTTGAGAAAATGAGTGGTTTTATTTGACGTTTGTTAAAATTAAAATTAGACGATTCACTTGGTATAATGATAGAGTACCTGGCCTTATTAAACATACTAAACCATTAAAGTCTTACGGAAACTGATTCAATTATAAAAATTGTTGATTTTTGAAAATTTGCTTTTAGAAAATACTCCGAGTTAACGTGTTGGTTCGTTTTCAATTATGTGTAAAAAAATCCACTCGGAAAACTTTTAATCACTCATAAATTAATTTGTTTTTCATTGTTTAAGTCGATTATTTACACATATCGGGAAGTTCATGTAACTTGCCTCTAGACAAAATACCAATACCAACTAGTTTTATATAAATTTCTTACCAAAATCCAAATCTCCCTGCAACTTGATCCAGTTAGTATTATTAGGATAATATTTCACAGCCTCGTTGAGAACAGAACGTAAAGTTTCGCTGACTGTACGAGAATTGTAAGAATTTGAGCTAAAATAATATAATAATAGTAATAAAAAATTCTAATGATATTAAAAATTGAATAACATACTTACTTGCTAACCATTCCTGGCCATAACGATAAATATTCGACGTTTAGTTCCATATTTGGTTCATCTTTTAACAGATTGTGCAGTTTTGTTAACAAGGATATCACAACGGAGAATACTAAAATAAATAATATAAAAAACAAAAATAAATGTTTTTGTACAATAATAATTAATAAGGGTGCAACTAAAGTTTTTTGGTAAAAAATCTAAAATTTAGTCTTTATAGTTATGTAAAACAATCGGAGCAATTTTTATGGGACACAAAAGCAATACCATTTAGTTTTTACTAAAATAAATATTAAGAAACACTGAAGTAAATGGATAAAAATTGAACATAATCTAGTACGATATATTAGTTGCATTTTGGCAATTATAATTTCTAAAGTACATTTTTCTTATTAATAATTTAAAAAAACATTATTATTTATGTTCAAATCTTAGGTGAATTAATTTGTAAAATCTAGTTCATATGTGCACTATTCAATCTAAGATCAACTTGCTAAATATTCCATACCCAATGCCAAATAAATGAATTTTTGACACGTGGTACAAAATTCTAACTCATTTTTTTAATAAGTGGTAATATTTTTTTGTATTGTTTAATAATATAGTACAGTAAATCAAAATGTGACATACATAAGTTTAAAAAAACAATGTATATGTAATTTTGGACTTATTGCGTTATTTATCAAACTGAATTATATAATTTCATCTGCCAACATATACTGTTGACTGTATCTTATATTATTTTAATTTCTGGCACATCTCCGCTGCTTTTCGGCAATAATAATGTACAAATAACATTTTTCTTGTAAATTATATTCTAATATTATCTAGGCTCATAAATTCAAATTTCAAGTGATTTGACATTTCTAGCAAATGTTTTCAATTCAAACAATGATAAGTGTTCTTTGTAATTTTTGCTATTCATTTCCACAATATTACTATAGTTTTATCGTTCATTATATCTTGAAAATTTCCTTTGATAAGCTCTAAAAAGAGTTATCAAAATCTGAACAACCGTTTAGAAGAAGAATTATCAAATCATACAGCCGTACAGAAGAATTTTATATATAAGATATGTATTAATTTTTTACCTGTGGCATCTCTTAGTCTTGATAGAAAATTTAATAAATTCTCTTTATTTGCAGATATTGGAGAATCTCTATGCATCATATTTCCAGTATTACTTCTTTTGTTGGAAACTGTCCCAAAAAGTGGAAGCACTAAGGAAAAAATAAAAACAAATCACTTTAAACAATTCTAAGCATGAAAGTATATAATAAAATTATTAAAACTAATACTAAACACACATATATTGGTTAAGTTCTAATAACTAATAACTTGGATTTTGGCCAATTTTTATCTTATCTTTTGAAATTGAACGATAAACTATTATGAGTCATTATTTTATTAGTTATAATTATTATATTGTTAGGTTCATTATAACAATCATTTATAACTTTGCATTTATATATTAATTACAAGTTTATAAATAATTTCATGGTGAAAGACTATATAACCAATGCAGTCCAACACTTTGGTAATTCATTTGTGAAACATTGAAATTTTAGCTTCTCATTTTATGTAATTGTTTTGTTCAGGAGAGTCACCATAAGCAATAATAACTTTCAACAAATAAAATTTATTCTAAGTCGTCGCCTTAGAATTATAATTTTTGACTAACTATTACTACAACCACCAATCGTCTCCTAGGATGATTACCGTATGCCGTTGGCTTTAAAATATTATAAATTATAATTTATATTTTTTTATTCTACTTACTTAAGTCCCAGGCGTCTCTATTAAGTTTTTTGCTGGCTTTATATTTGACAAGATCATTGGCAGCATGTGCCATGGCTCCAAAAATCTCTAAACTGCAATATTGGCGTTCCAATGACGCCAATGTATCCCAATCAGCCAAAGCCAATAGGGTAGCTGCTGCATATTCTTTTATCTGAAAAAAAGACAAATAAAATTTAATAGAAAAAAATAAATAAGTGAATTTAAAAAAAAATGCTATGACGTCATCGACGTATGCCTTAAATTGTTCAAAAATTCACATTTTTTTAAAATTTTTATAAACGTAATATCAAAGGTCTCGTACATTCATCACGTGAGAATTTTAAGGGGGGTTGACAAAAATTCACATTTTTTTTTTAATTTTATAAACGTAATATCAAAGGCCACGTACATTCATCACGTGAGGATTTTAAGGGGGTTTGACAAAAAATCACTTTTTTTTTTAATTTTATTAATTCAATATCTAAAACGGTTTAGATTAATCACGTGTGGTTTTTAGAGAGAGGGTTGACAAAAAATCACATTTTTTTAAAAAAATCCAAACATTTTCAAAAAAAAAAAAAAAAATTGTTTACGATATTTTCTCGTAATTAAAAATACACGTAGAATTCAGTGGTTACTGAACTGGGGAGGGGTAATTTTGAGTATCACCAAAAAGGAGGGGGGTCAACAGAACCTCAAAAAATGATCACGTGATTAATGGGCGCCCCCTAAGTAAATAGCCATTTTTAGCTAATCAAGAACAACTTTACAATACTATATAAAAACAAATTTTACACATTTTTTCTATTTAAATTAATATATAACGCCGCAAATTTTAATATTATTAATTAGAATTACAACTAATCATACAAAATAATAAAAATAAAATTAAATTAATATGATTTTTGCAAAGATATATGTTAAGATTTTTGCAAAGATATACGTCAGAGCATTGAAAAATATATAATAAAAGTTTATGATAGCTAATGAACCCTCGGCGAGCAATCATAAAACTAGAAATATTGATAATATTTTAAAAATGTAAAATATAAAACTTGGTTAGTCCTGAACTGTGTGTTAGTCAAAGAATTCAAGAGAAGAGCTACAAATGTTCCAATTCTCATCGTAATGTATTCCAAATGAAACTATAATCTACTCAAGAAATTATTAAAAATTGGTTACATTTAATTATTAATTAGTAAATTTATTACTGACGTCTCTTCAATATATACATAACAAAAATATAAATATAAAATCATATAAAGTATTTCGATGGAAACTATATTTTTAAATGATTACATCACCAATAAATACATATTACAATAAACGATTTAATCCGCCAAAATATATCAAGCGCATATCATACTAGCGTCTATGGTCGTTCGCTTCTAAGCGAAAGCATCCAACAGCTGCGGTGTCCGAGTGGTTAAGGAGATGGACTTGAAATCCATTGGGCCCTGCCCGCGCAGGTTCGAATCCTGTCCGCAGCGAAAATATTTTTTTATCGAAATTTTTTAATTTATAGGTCAAAATTATATTTATGTCATTAGAAATGATATTACTTTTTACTAATTCTGAGAATTTTGGAAAATATTCGCGTAATAAAGATAAAAGTGCCGAGTCTAATCTGCGCGGTATTTTTTATTGCTATACAAACTTTATGCACACATCTGTATATATGTAAATAAATTGAGATATTTTAACATGCTGATTTGCATTTTAGCAACAAATTTGTTTTATAGAATAGAATAAAATTTATTTAACAGTCAAATGGTCATTTATAGTCATTAATTAATAGTAATAAAACGATAATAGGAATAATTATCATGGGAGGGCAAGAAAATCATTGATTTTGTGTGGTGCTCTCATACCATGGACCTGCCTTCGGACAGACTATAGTTTATTATTATTTTATTAACATTCAAATTTTGCCATTTAAGTCAGATATATATAAATAAAATCATCAAAATATCGTTTATAAAATAATTTGAAGTGAAGTAAATAATTTTGTCTAATAATTCTTTTTGCTCATACACATGTTTTTTTTTCAATTTTTGCTTCAATCGATTCAGAATGACTCCAAATGTCGATGAAACAAAATGACCAGGTCGTCTTTTCTAAGTTTATAAATGATTTATTTTGCCTGCTTTTCTGCCTTCGGGCAGACTACTATTTATTATTAGTTCATTAACATTCGAATGTTGCAATTTAAGTCAGATATATATATAAATAAAAATCATCAAAATGTCGTTTATAAAATAATTTGAAGTGCTCAGTGAAGAATTTTGTCTACGCCTTTTTGATTCTACATTTTATTATATAATTTGTATAATATTTGCTATTAGGAAATTAACCGAGAGCATCTGATACTCATCAGGTATTTAAAAATTTGAAAATTTTCTAAACTAAATATTTCTCTTATAATGCTTTTGATTTTGAATAATTGTTAATTGGAATCTGTAGTCATTTGTAATAGGCTTATATCGTTTTTGAAATTATTCCACTTAAAGAGTAACTTTTAGGATTTATGATAGTCTATTTATATTTAAAATGTTTATATAATTAGACAATAATATAAAATAAAAATCTTAAATTTGTTTAATAAATAAACTAGAGATTCTAGAGATAATAGAGAAAATAGAGAATCTTTTAATACCTGGTTTAAACAAAAATTACATTGAACAATATGATATGATCTAAATATTCGAAATACGTCTTACAAAATGACAATTAATTAGTTTTTTTACATATAAATAGCCGTTTTCAATTATTATTAAAAACTAAAATGAAAAAAAACATTTTTAGTTTACAAAACTTCCTACATAATCCTATTATAAATACTATAAGTTTCTCTTTAAGAGAAATCTAAATCATTTCAATTTAGACTATATATAAATAAATTGCATAGACTATTAAATAAATAGACTGCAAATTCCAATTAACTAATTATTCAAAAGCATATAAAATTCATTACAAGCTCAATATTTAGTTTATGAAACTTTAAAATTTTTAAAAACATAATAAAGTCTCATTATCTTTCGTTTAATTTCTTAATAGCAAATATTACAAATATTATATAATAAAAAGTAGAATCAGAAATACTTTCTTATAATCTCTTTCCCAAGCAATTCATATTGTGTTATAAACAAATTTTTATAATGATTATATCTATGTGGCGCAAATTGCAGCATTTGAGTTTTAATGTATATTTATTCTATCATTCATAACAAATTTGTTGCAAAAATGTAAAAGTCAGCATGTTAAAATATATAATTTTGCTTTCATCTACAGATAATTATAAATTTTTACATATCAACGCACAACATTTTGCAAACCAAGTTGCAGATTAAACTCGTCCTTTTATCTTAATTATGCAAAAATTTTGTAATTTAATATAACTGTTAATGATACAGATGTAATTTAAAAATAAAAAATGATAATTCAAGATAAAAAAATATTTTCGCTGCGGACAGGATTCGAACCTGCGCGGGCAGGGCCCAATGGATTTCAAGTCCATCTCCTTAACCACTCGGACACCGCAGCCATGCTACGAGAGAGCGAAACGAGCGTAGTAAAGCCGACACTAACACTACGGTACGCGAACTAGTACGTATTGGAGGGGAAGTGAATGTATGGTACATATGGTAGGTGTACTCAATGCGAAATATACTGTATTTATATAATTTGTGGTATTTTAAAACAATATATGAACTAGGTGTAAGTGGCATTATGCAATTAATAATAAACTATATGTAAGTGGCAAGTTGCAGGAATTTTATTTGTTACTTAAAATAAAAATCATAAAGAATATCTTTCGATCAATTTTGAATATATGTGTAAATAATCAATTTAATGAATAATAATCGAGATTTAGCAATTCAGCCATATTTTGTAAGACGATAATATTTTAATCTCTATAATATTTTAATGCAAGTTTTAATACATTCATTTAGAGGCCGATTCTGCAGTTAAATAAACCAATATTATAAATAAATATTATTGCAAGCCTATGTTACGTAGCGCTTTTCATACAAAATGGCACTAAATACTGCCTAAATGCTACGTGGTTTGCTGCGCGGTCAGGCGTTTTAGATAAGTAGCATAACTTAAACATAAAGCGTATGTTCTCATACCTGCATCTTTCTGATGTGCCATAATAAAATAAGCGTAAAGTATTGAAAAATAATAAACAAATTAAATTATTCCAATAATAAATAATAATTACAAAACATTATAAGAAATATATTTTTTATATATTAATCGGTTAATTTTTTAATAACATTTATTATAATGATTATATATTAAAATTCAGGACCAAAAATAATAAGTGTAAACTTGCATTTTATGTGTAAAACGTCTGATCGCACAGCAAATACATGGCATTAAGACAGTATTTAGTACTATTTTGTATGAAAAGCTCTACGTAATATGGCCTTACTATAACATTGGTCTTTTTTCTATTACTCTATCATCATAAAATTTTATTATGAAATTAGCACCGTTCCCAAAAGATATCTTTCGATCTATATTGAATTTCTAAAAACGATTTAAGATTTTTGGCTAAAACATGACTAAAACACTTTGCACTTTTTGCAAATTATGAAGAAATTATCAACGCGAGTCCTTATCATTTTAAAATAATAGTTACATCACTTTAAAATTTTAAAATCGGTTCAGCAGATTTATGAGAAAAAAATCTCATGTTCAATAACGCTAAAAATATTGAACCTATTTTTAAAATGCGAAAACCTTTTGAAATATATCAATGGAAATCGTGTTAATTTGTTTTCGTTAAAAATCGCCCAGGCCGTTTGTAATATTGTTAAAAGTATTTTCTTATTTATTTTTACAAAACTTTGTCTGGTGATAGAGATCATAGTATGTTGTTATTCTTAATTATTATCAGTCTACGAAAAACAGTTTAATATTGAAGGCTTGACTAAAAAAAAATTCGTTAAAATTACAAATTTGTATCACCACAAGAAATTTAATTATAATATCAAAAAGTAGATGCAACTTGCCTTAAGACAAAATGCCACTTATAAACCGTTTAATTCAAATTGCAGAATGCATTATTGGCGAAATGTGAGTTTTGAAAATATATAATAATATATTGTACAATAAATTCAAATGTATATATGCTTTCTTAAATATGCAATAATTAATAAAGAAAAATGTAAGGAGATAAAGTAGAAATGAATAGACGTATTTTAAAACTTATTAATTCGTCCTCAGTTCTACTATACAATAACTATAATATTATTAATCATTCTTACCTCTATTCTGGGAATAATATTATCAAGTCCTTGGGAAGGAGATAAACATTGGCGGCACCTCATGGCTATACTTTGAGCATCAGCACCTGAAATAACAACAATTTTCTTAAACTATCGATCATTTTTCCTTTTAGGTACAAAGACAAATATTATTTGTTTCACGCACACCCATGTTCAGAATATCAAAAACAATAAATGAATTTGCTTGTGAGATTGATATCTTTGATCTGTCGTTGACAAATATAAAAAATTAGGCTAGAAAAATTATCCTTAAATGACTGTCTTAAATAGTGATTCATAGTTTGGTATTATTAGCTTTTATCTAATGTTATATATTTGTAGTTAATATTAAGTGTTATGTATATATACAAAGCTATCTATGAACTCTTAATACTCTAATTTTCTCACATATTATCTTTAGTTTATAATTTGTACACTTTAAAATGTAATTATATTGTATTATTGCCTTGGGTGTTGAATAAATAAATAAATAAATAAATAATTCTTACCTTTACTTCTTTTCTGCCACTCATCTAAAAGTTTCTGACATTGCACTAACAAAATCTCCCAAGCTATCAATTTGGATAATTTCACAACCACAGGTGCAGTTTGCTCCCGTGTTTCTTTTTCCAGGACATATAATAGAGTAAGAGCTCCTGAATAATGCTACAATAAATAATAAATGAAATAATATAATAATAATTAAATTACTCAAAATCACTGACATTATTCAGAGAATTTTGTACTTTGTAAAACTCATTTTCAATTCTTAAAATTTTAGTTGATCTTTAATTAGGATAGGCTTAGAAATTATTATATATTGATAACAATAATAAATAAAACAGATTACGTAATACAGTAGAACTCCAATTATCCGAACTCCAATCATCCGAACTTCAATTATCCGAACTCCGACTATCCGAATCGCCGATTATCCGAATCACTTTCAGAAAAAAAATTGACCAAAAAAAGTTTAAGTGCGCTATTATTCTTCCACCAGCGAAGCCAGTGTTGGCACATTGTTTGTTTTGATTTGACGGAGATGTTTGAAAAATAATTATTTTTATTTCTAAACTTGTACTTAAGTACATTTTATTTATATTTAAAATATGTGAAAATATCATGTTTCTTTCAAAAAAATAGTGCAATATCAAAACGTAACTTTTTTTCTCTCCAATGGCAATTTAAAAAAAAAACTCCGAATATTTGATTATCCGAATCGGTCCCGGTCCTCATTAATTCGGATAATTGGAGTTCTACTGTATATAACATTTAGCTACAATTATAACCATAGTACCTTCATGTAAAGTAACTGCTTCGATTTAGCTAATAAAATATATGAAAAATCTTGAAGAAATCCCAAAGGCAAAACCATTATCACACTTTGCAATGGAATTGGTATAGTCCAACTGAAATTTTAGGATAACATATAAATAGTAAGCTTGCTACAAATAGTATATTGGACAAAATGTCGAATACTAGATATTCGGAAACTATTCAACAGTTTTTTAGCGCCTAAAGTCGTTCATATTGATGTAATTACTATACACAGTTGTTTTATTGCTAACGTACTATATGTGATAGTAAAAGAGCCTGTGATAGCTCTTTATTTAGAAAAGCTTAGATTAAATATGATGAATGACTTTATTCAATATAGATATAACACATGCTTGTAACCGTTGAATGAATCTTAACATAAACCTATAACAATAACGTGTCTTTAGATATTGAGAAGAGAGTTCACGCGTTCGTTTGTCGATAAAGTTAAAATTATTATATATACAAATGACAATAACGAATTCATTTCTTCAAATCATATTATGTAAAAACTTCCAAATATACAGATCCATCGCAATGAAACACCTTTATGGCATAAAAAATAAACACGCACAATATTGTTGCTGAGCGGCGGCTCAGTTGATTTTAACTTTTATTATAAAAGGTGCCGAATATGCTGAATACCGAATATCAACCAAACATTCGGTGCAAGCCTAATAAATAGTAGTAATTAATGCAATATTACTTTTTATTATTAACTTACTCTGCATAGACTTTCCACAAAGGTTCTGCAGGATTTGTAGCCACTAATTTTACCAACAGTCGTCTGATTTCTTCAGCATCCATACTTTGTACTAATTTACCTTCAAGCATGCATTGTTCTGTACGCTTGATATAGGCTTCACGAAAACTCATATCCCCTTGAAATTCATCTATAACTAAAATTAAAACACAAGGGAAAAATTATATCTGTTATCATCATATTAGAATATTTATTTATAGGTATGGTAAAATACTTACAACAATTATTATTAAACATGGTAAGATATTCTATGTAACCGGCATCAAAGAAATCATCCTTTGGGATTTCTTTGGAAGCTTCTGGTGCCTCGATATTCAAAGGTATTTGAAATTCTTGTAAGTATACTACTAATTCTTCTATGCCTAAATCTATAAGATGTTGGAAATATGATTCTATATTTTCTTTTTCTTCTGGTGTTGCGGTAGGAAGAACATTTTTGAAGGCCTGAAAATAATTAATAAACAACATAATAATATAATTTGTTATAATAATTTATATATATATATATATATATATATATATATATAATAATTACCGAAAGCAAAAAACAAAAATACTGGTCTCCGCCGGCTTTCAATCGTTCCAGAAAATCATTTGCAACTAAATATGTAGTATCACTTAAAACAGACCTATAACAAATAAATATGGAGTCAAAATATTGAATTTATTATTATAAAAAAATTACTGAAATTTACCTAACGGTATTTAAGACTTCAATTCTAAAAATTATATCCTGTGGCATTTGGAAGCCCTTCAATGAAACTGCTCCTTTTATATCCAATTCCGTTAATGTTCGTTGTATCAAAGGTATTTCTCTTGATAAGTTGTCGGCTTCAAGAATTTCTAATATACCCTGGAAATAAAAATAAACTAGTGGTGTATGGCATCGTGCCTTAAGGCAAATTGCTGGAACTTTCTGTATCAAAATTAGAACTTTTAAAACAGATTAAATTTTTAGAACTCTGAAAAAAAAAACGATTTTTGAGTAAACAAAATTTGTTCTTTATATTAAAATATCTATAAAATATGTGATAATTTGATGTGTTTATGTCTAATGATCATTTTTGTCCGCCAAATGGCATTTTTTTCACTTTTTTTCATTGCCTTCTCAAAAATTTCATCAAGTTTACATTTTGTCAACACAAATAAAATGTTTTTTGAATCATACAAATCGCACACTCCGTTCTCTCAAAAAATCAATTACCATTTTTAGCACTTTTTCAAATCTTCGAAACGGCACGACCTGCCTTTGTCAAAAACTAATTAGCACGTCTCCTTATCAATACGAATCGAATGTTTTTTTAATTATTCAAATCGGTTGAACCAAGTTCTCGAAGTCGTCGACGAAAATGTGTATCCGCACACACACACACATACATCATTTTTCTAAGATATGCCAAAATGTTCAGAAACCTCTGAAACGTAAAGATATGCAAAAAATTGACTATAACTTACCCTACGGGAAGTTAATGATTATCTATAATTATTTTTAAAATATAGTTAGAAGATGCCTTTTTATGTGTATAAAGTTTTATATCAATAGATTTAATAGTTTTCAAAGGAAAAATTCTATAAAATTATTATTTTTTCGGCCGATTGTACTGCATATAACCATTAAGGCAAGTTGCATGAACATCCCGATGTGTAAATAATTGACTTGAATAATACGGAATTGAATAAAACGATTGCCGTTTATTAAATTGTATACAAATTTTCCAAGCAATTTGCTTTTCAATTACACAAACAAAAACGATATAAACAAAAAGCAATTTGGATTTTCTGGCAAAAACAAACTTCTCCATCAAAAATTAAAAAAAAAAAAGTTTTTCTTACATTATAGTGATTCATAGCTGCTATTTTTAATCTCTGCAACAATCCTCCGTTAGCACCCAAACAAGCTTCCAAATAACTAAAATACAAAACAAACAAAAAAATAAAATAATTTATTATATATTCATATTTATATTTATTCTTTATATATATATATATATATATATATATATATATATATTCTTTATATTTATATATATATATATATATATATATTTATTTTTTATATTTATATTTATTACTTATATTTATATTTATACCTAATATTTATATTTATATTTATGATCATATATTATATATATTTTATATTTATATTAGAATATATATTATTATGATAAATTTAGAATTTGACATAAAAATATTTACAATTATTTTTATATTTATATTTATTCATTAAGTTTATATTTATATTTATTCTCATATTTATATTTAATTTATATTTATATTTAATTTATATTTATATTTATATTTAAAATTACTCTTTATATTTATATTTATATTTTATTATTTATATTTATTCTTTATATTTATATTTATTCTTTATATTTAAATTTATTCTTTATATTTATATTTATTCTTTATGTTTATATTTATATTAGAATATATATTATTATGACAAATTTAGAATAATTTATCAAAAAAACAACAAAATCAATTTACTTACCCATCCAAATCCTTCCTAGTAACCGTACAATATTTAAATTTCGGAGCTTCTTCACCATCATTAATTCCATACTCTTTCAACAACTCATAAAAGTTCTCCTTGCAAATCAAAATATGTTTTCTTGCAACCCCATATTTCCTTATAAACAAATAGTACATAGTAATATCAAAATGTATTTGTGTATTCAATTCCTGGGGTGATATATAGAAACCTCCTTCGAATGATTGTTCAGTGCTTTCTGTAGACTCGTGCAGGGGTGCAAAAGACTCGAATCCTAGGCATTTGAAAGGTGTAACCGTTTGCTTGGATATTTTTTCTAAATAATCTATACTGGTGTGGGAAATTTGATCCAGACTTGCGATGCAGGTGTCATCGATTGCTGTGAATTGGGTGGCGTTGCTGTCTTGTAAACCGGGACTAAAAAAATAATAATTATAAATAAATAATTAATTATATATATATATATATATATAAATAAGTATATTTAATTGATATTTCTTGGATTTTTTTAAATATATATATATATATATTTTTTTTCAATTTCAATAATTATTACAACTGTTAAATTATTAACATCTAGTAATATTGATAAATAATAACATAAATTTAAATAAATAAAAGTGCAAGTTTACATGAAAATATCCATAATATGATTTGATATAAAATAGAAGCAAATAATAATAAAAATAAAATTAATAAATAATATAAATAAAATTTCTGAATAATAAAATAATACTAGAAAAATAATAAAATATAACAAAATAACAATAATATTAATAGTAAGATAATAATAATAATAATAATAATAATGTTTTAAATCAATTAATAAGAGTTTACTTTCCAAACAATTAATCCAATAAATTTCTAATTAGATATTATGTATATATATATATATATATATATATATATATATATATATAAAAGGCAAGATATAAATAAATAAATAGTAATTGTAAATAACTTGTGAGTAAATTTGTTTCAAACACTAAAGAAAAATTTATTTTAGAGATTAAAATTAAATATATAATTGAAAATAATTAATAATTGATTGAAATCAAATGTAAAGATAGATCTAGATACATTATTAATATAATATTTAACAGATATACATATTTATTCAAAAACTTAAGGCTTAAGACAAATTTCATAAACTTTTGCAATGCAATGCAAAATATGTAAATAATTAATTTAAACAATAGTAGTTAGCTATTTAGATACAAGTTTGAAGTATTTATTTCAGAGTGTAAATAACTAATTAAAAAATTACTTACACATGAACATAAGTAGTCTTATTATTCCTCGGTTGCAACCCACGATAAACCTGCACAGTCAACACCCAACGATGATACAGAGTCAATGCAAATCTAGCATTATCTGTTGTAAAAATACTGTTCCATTCTTCAGAAGATTTACTCTCATTAGATTCCTCTTCCGGTTTGTCTGATTTGAAACCATGTTTTTGTTGGAGAAAATCTAATGTTAATGGTATTGGAAGTTCTTCGCCTGTGCAGACACTTAATAAATCCTTAAGCAAGTATACTTGCTTTTGGAAAGGTAGTTCGCTCTCGAACACATCTAGATGAAAAATAAATTTATCAATCTTATCAGTGAATTAAAGTAAAATTAATTAGGTAGTAAGTAATAGTAAATATTATATATGTAAAGTTATAAATAGAATATAAATGCATTGACAGAGAGTATTATTTTCAATACCTCCTAATATAAAATAAGATTGAACAATTTAACTTATTTACAATAAAAAGAACCTATACAAGCTTTTCAAAGCGCATGTGAATAAAATTTAATACTTTCTGTCATAAAAAACACAAAAAGACATTATATCTTATAGATTAATCATGAAATTTAGAACAAATCTAATAATTTAGTAAAAATGATCTTGACAGATTTTAGGATCTGCCGAATTTAATATTTGACAAAATATTTTGCACTAATACGACTTGAATTGAATAATTGAAACAATTATTATAAATAAATTGATGCGCTTGTAATAAAGTAATTGAACTTGTACAATTCTTCATCACACTTCAGTATTTCAATAACAAAATAACATACAAAAATTTAACAATCCCCATCATTACGAATTGAATGTTTTTTGGATCATAAAACTGCTTTTAAGCATTATTTTTTGTTTTTGTATAAAGACTTGAATTGAATAATTGAAACAATTCTTATAAATAAATTGATGCGCTTGTAATGAAGTAATTGAACTTGTACAATTCTTCATCACACTTCAGTATTTCAATAACAAAATAACATACATGAAATTTAACAATCTTCTTAATATTAATTAAAATTCACCGAGCTTAATACTAATTAAATAGACATATTCTTTTAACATCTATGTATTAAAAATCCCTTATCCCTTACTTAAGTTCCAATTCAGATGAGCAGCAACTTTCAACGACAATATTTTAAGAGCAAAATGCTTCTTCGAAACTCCAGCATTTGTCTCTGATTTTGCACCATCTTCTGCTGGTTTATTGTCATATGTATCTGGTGATATTGACAAAAATTTCACAATTAACTCCGTAGGTGTAGGATCTGCAAATCATCATAAAATATGTTAGAAATAATGAAAATCAATTATTATAGTTAATAAGTGACATAACCTGGTGACGGTTTAGCAAGATGTTTCTCTAATAAAGTAGGATCGAGTAAAAATTCAAACCACAAGGCAGTTTCTGATATTGGAATCGTTTTGGGTCGAAGGTAATCGACGTCCATTGTCACTAAATTAATTAAATAATATTTAATGTTAATTTGCACGTTTGCATTGCTGTCCTGTCAATGGACGTTGTTATGAATGAAGTCTGATGCAAGTTATGAGAAACGTCAAAATATACTTGTTCAAAAAATAGCATTTTGTGGTTAAAATAATATTTAATACTAATAAGTCATGTTATTTCTAGTTTATAATATCAATTTGAGTATAAAATATTGTGTGTATATACAGTTAATTACATATTTTTATTTTAAATTTGAATTTGGCGCCAGCGCCATTTTGTATTACCTTCAAGCCAACTTCATGCACAACAATGCGGTTAAAAAATGACATTTGTGACATCTAGTGGGAACACCTTATTATTGATTGCTGTCAATTATAACGATGTTTGTTGAATTATATAAATATTAATTGAAAAAAATGCCTTATAAATACACCTTTTATTTACCAAATTCAATCAAAAGTGCATGTTATCATTTGTGAAAGTTATTCTGAATTTCCTTGTGCTATGCAGTGATTCACCTTTGTTTGCAATAAATCCGCACCGAAGCGGTTTATTTGTATTTAATTTAATAAATATTTTATTAAGATAATGATAACGAAGTGTATAGTGCAGTTAGTTGTTACAACATTCCAACATAGGTAAAAATATGTATATTTTAATTAGTTGCTCTGCTCGTAGTTATAACCTTAATTGGATAGACAAATAGTGTCTAAATCTATATAGAGTTAATTGTTACGATTACGCCAGAGTACTAGGAAAATAGTTCTAAGTGTGTATTTAATTATTGCATAAATTTATATATAAGAAAAACATAATTGTCATTATCAATGTCAACTACATTTAACTCAAGGTTTCTTAGCAGACTTTGCTAAGATAAGAAATAGACACAGAATATAAGAGAATAATGTATCACAAACGACAAGATAGTAAAAAAATTACATGTGCATAAATATTGTATGATTAATATAATAATATGCTGTTCTAGAGCTTTTTCCTTGAAAAACTTTGCTAAGGTAATAACTTTGTACATAACAGTTTTACAAGGTATTTGTTAAAGTCTTCTTCTAATGTATGAGCTAATCTTGTTATTCGTAATCATTTATCCAAGATAAATATCTCCAAGTATTTCAGCTCTTCAAAGATTTACTTCTAATATGTATTTTTATTATCTAGGTAGCTGTGCACCAGTAAAGCTGTAATTAAGAATGCGAACAAAAAATTTTTTAGTATTTCTGGGCTGTGTATGTATTACTAGTGTATTGTTGGTGCTACTTGGGCCCCAACGAGGCGAGTCGTTGAACCAAATTGTATCTCAGACACATCAACAAATCAGAAGCATTCAGGTAAAAAATAAGCAAGTATTTATTTATAATAATAAATGAATCTGTAATGTATAGTTATTAAATTGATTTATAAATAATCCTTTTGGAAACATTTAATATTCCTTGAATATCAAAGATACAAAGCTATTTGTACAAAAAAATGCAGTGTTTGAGAGAACTAAGCTTTCGATTTGAATGATTCAAAAAGCTTTCTGCTTGTGTTGAAACAATTGCTTTTTTTCGATTATCGAAAATAATTCATTTTTTAATTTTAGTTCTGGCTAAGGTTCTAATGCTCACTTATATACTTTAAATCAATAATTTTAACTCTGTAATTTAGTTTATATAATTCTCATAAATGACAATAAATTACAACTTAAAATAGACAATGTTATAGTATTTATTATATAATAATCTTTTTAAAAACATTTATTATTCATTGAATATTTTTCTAATTTACGAGAAGTTCCAGCAATTTGCCTTAAAGCACGATGCCATACACAACTAGTTTAATGTTCACTTTTGTTGATTGTATTTTTGTATGCAATTAAATAGAACAAAGAAATAAAGTTAACCAAGATTAAATTAATTAATTAATTAGATTAATTAAACTTTAAAAACAATTATTTTTTGTTTATGCTTAATTTTCACATATAACAATATAAATATTTTTGTAATAGCGAAATATTATTTATTTCAATAATGTAATTCACTGTTATAAAAAAATTTTCATTATTTTATGTGAAAATTATCCATAAATAGCAAATGATTGTTTTTAAAGCTATTTAGTCCTGGTTAACATTATTTCTTTGTTCTACTAAATTACATATAAAAATATTATCAACAAAGGTGAACAATAAACTAGTGGTGTATGGCATCGTGCCTTAAGACAAATTGCTGGAACTTTCCGTACCGTAATCAAATATTCGAGGAATATTAAATGTTTTCAAATATATTATTATAAATACTATAACATTATCTAATATTTATAAGAAATATATAAACTGAATTGCAAAGTTGAAATTATTTGTTTAAAGTATATTAGAACTTAAGTCAGAATTACAATTAAATTCTGAACTATTTTCAATATACAAAAAAAAATTAGAAAAAAAATTGTTCTATTTTGAAATAATACGATTTTTTTTTCTCCAAAAGCAATTGTTTCGACAACGCAAGCACAAAGTTTTTTGAATTATTTAAATCAGATGCTTAGTTCTCTCAAAAACTGCCATTTTTTGCACATTTAGCTACGTATCTCCAAAACGGCTGGACCTGCCTTTGCCAAAAACTAATCAGCACATCTTCCTATCAATAGGAATCAAATGCTCTTTAAACCTATCAATTCGGTTGATCCGTGCACCCAAAAACGTGGACGAAAATTTGTGTTCATACATACATACTCACATCCACACACACACACACACACATCCAAATGTTCAGAAACCACTGAAACGTGAAGATAAGCAAAAATTTACATTTTCGTTTTTTGGACGAAACCGATTAAAACTGTTTTTTTTTTTGCAAAAATTACTATTTAAATACCAGTTTGCTAAACTGTTGGTTTTTATTTAAACCCTAACAATAATCGAATAAAAATCTTTATTTTGCATAATGCAGAAATAGAAATGAAGAGCATTTTTTAATAATATTTTATAATTATTATACACTTTATTGTTGTTATATTTATAATTATTATACAATTTTAAATAATAATAATTATAATATGACACTTACAAATTTCTTAAAATATCATAATGTACCCTAAAATTTGTTAAACGAAATAATCATATTGTAGAAGTATTGTAATGCTAATTAAAATACTTATTAAATTGTTAAGAAATATATAATTGTTAAAATATTTATATTTATAAATAATTAAAATTAACTAAATAGAAATAAGTTTATAGTAAATAAATTAAATAATAAATGAATAAGTAATAAAATAGTTAGTAGTTAGTTAAATTATATTAAATTTACAAAATATTGACTTGAGTTTCATTAACGAAGCAAAAGTTTGTTTTCATAAAAAAATCCGGTTTGCTAATTTTATGTTTTCTCGACGTTTCACGCTATTCTGAATCCAATGAGGCCAACATTTGGAAAAAGTATGTTTGAAAATCGACGTTTTCTCAAAAACTGCTGGACCGATTTCAGAAATTTAAAAGCCATTTGATGTATCTCAATGAGGAGTATCGTTTGTCAGTTTTGTGAGATGATATGCCGAGCCGTTTCTTTGTAATTTGAAAAAAGTGGTAAACTTTTTGCCCACATTTAAGCTCATACTACCGAATAGATTTAAAAAAATCAAAAACTGTTTGAAAAATGTTAGTTGGAAATGATTCTGATTAGTTTTAGGTGAAAATGTACCGAGCCGTTTTCTTGTATTAACTGTTGAAAAAAAAAACTAAGGCTATTTTTATGGAACTTTTTTTTTGGCGATATATATTATGGTCTTATAGAACTTACTGAAATATTACGGCCTCACGACAAGTACTTTAATTTTAAAAATTCATCAAAGTTTGAGAAAATGAGTAGTTTTTTCGACGTTTGTTAAAATTAAAATTAGACGATTTACTTGGTATAACGATAATGTACTTGGTCTTAATGAACATACTAAATCATTAAAGCCCTACGGAAACTGGTTCAATTACAAAAATTATTGATTTGTGAAAATTTGCTTTCAGAAAATTCGAGTCAACGTATTCGTTCGTTTTCAATTATGTGTAATAAATCCACTCGGAAGACTTTTAATCATTCATAAATTAATTTGTTTATTATTGATTAAGTCGATTATTTACACATATCGGGAAGTTCATGTAACTTGTCTCAAGGCAAAATACCAATACCAACTAGTTATAATATCATTATACTGACGACTTGTAAAATAAATAAATAAATGTTTTATCCTGGTTCTATTATTTTCAGGATAATTTGAACTATGTGCAAGAAAAAAATCTCAGTGCAGATTCAAATTTACTGTCCTATTTGGGATTCAGTACTTCAACAAACACCATAACATCTTACAATGGAAGTTGGGCAAGTAATACAACAAAACCAACGGTTGTATCATATGTTCTACGACATCAACTTGCTCAGGCTATTGGATTGGCAAGAAATATTATGTCAAGGTAAAACGCTTAAAATAGTAAAATAAAAATATATCTATTTCAATTTCATTTTTTTTTTTTTTAATTTCCAGATGGCATAGACAGTCTCTGATTATCTACGACATAGGTTTATCCAATGATGATTTATTGACACTTTCAACTTTTTGCAATAGTTCACGATGTACAATATATTCATTGCTAAATTTAGAACAGTTTCCATCTTATGTGCAACAGGAGCACGGGCACGCTTTTCGACCTATTATAATTCAAGTAAGTAAGAATTATTACAATTTTTATTAAAAGGTTTGCCACCACTTTCTAGAAAACAAGTTTTCTAACAATATTTTGAAGTAGAGGGAAAAAGATTTCTTTTTACGACGCTATCACAAGATATATAGTCCTTTTGCCAATTTTGTAATGAAAGTATAGTTTTTTGGTTTTGAGCACTGTTGTTTAGTTTATGATACCTGATATTATTTTCATGTGTGAGTTGAAAAAAATAATATAAAATATTAGTCAAATAGTGCTATACTGCAATTTATAATTATTATAATTAGGCTATTTGGCATTATCATTTTTATGTGTTTTTTTCTAAAAATTTTGCATACACTGATGATGACATAGAATTTTTACGTTGAAACATATGGAATATTTTTTCAATTTATTTTCATTCTGATTTATAATTTTTTTGATGCAATTTTCTTTATATCAATGCCATAAAACATACATTTTGTCAATGCAAATACTAATTTTTTATGCATTTTAATTATAAATCACAAAGTTGGTGTTTATTACAATACGTAATAATAATAATAACAATGTTTTAAAAATCTTTTCATCATTGTTTTTACTTTAACTTTTATTCCAAGAATCTAATTATACATTTCAAATCAATTTTTTTTCCATATTTAACTACTCTTAACACACACACACACACACACACACACACACACACACACACACACACACACACACATATATATATATATATATATATATATATACTAGCTGACCCGGTAAACGTTGTTTTGCTGAGTATGGTATATTCTAAACAATTTCTAAAGAATAAAAAATATTAATACTTTAAGGGTATAAGGATGTATTGTTTGAATGCTATATACAATGAGGTATTATAAAAACAATAAACCTCATCAGTTTGTCTATATTTTGTCAATACAATCAAACTGGAAGTTTTATACCCTTTCTATAGAAAACATCGTATAATCCAATCCGAGTCTTTTTTGGTCTTTCGGCTTATTAATTACGTTTCAAGTTTTTCAGATTCTTTTTGGATTCTGGATTTTGTGTATAATTTTAAATAATACTACTGAGCTTATACAAAATTTTCAAATTTTTGCGAGGAGAGATAGAAAATGTATTAAGTATTTCTTCTTCAATCTGCTTTTTGAAAAGTTTCAAGTAACATTCGATGAACTAAAAGAAATTTATTAAAAAGTATATATGTAGAGCAAGGCGAGGCACAAAGGTCCAATTTGACTTCGAGAAAATATGAATTATATTTTAAAAATCAAACCAATTATATCACAACAAATAACACATTTCAAACGAACAATTATCTGACTACGTTCAGTATAACTGTCAGCTACTTCATCGTTGTGAAAATGTGCTTTTTTGATGTCTTTCAAATATTTATCTATTTTCCAGAATAATTCATTTTTAACTAATGCTAAAAAACTACAAACGGAAGAAAATACTTTTATTATGGATTTTCAAAGATTACCGTTTATCTCCCAATAACAAAGTCATGAGAATCAAGGTTACAGCTAGTTATACATCTTTTTCCCTCTACTTTAAAATATTGTTGTTAAACAATGCTTAACTTTACTCGTTTTAGGCACATCGGTGGTGGACCTTTTCAATCCCGGACCTTCATATATTACTATCTATTCTTCGATAAATTCTGGGAAATTATAACTGGGAAAATGTTATTCGACAAAATATGCCTTTGATCGATACCAAATTTAGGTTCTGAATTTAAATAACATAAATAAGAAAAAATATAACCTATAAAATGTTTTATAAATACCAATGAGTATATAATTATACAAATGAGATCTTTCAGAGCATCGTGTTTGAGAAAAATATGCCAAAAAGTGCATTTTCATATTAACATTTCAAAAAAGTTGATATTTTGAGTTTCTAGTAACACTTGCGATCCGTTTAATAACGTTTTTGTGTATAAATATAACTACGAACAAAACTACTTACTACAATTTAATCATAATTAAATAATATTCATCCTGTTAAACATAATTGAACATCATCTGTCAAAAACGTTTTGACATTTGACGTATTAGCCACCGTTCATTGTTATATTTAAATTACACTTCTAAAAAAAATTTCAAATTCAAAAAGTAAAGTTTCTACGCGATTTTGAAATAATATCTCACCTTTTCGACAACCTACTGATTAGCACGAATTTTTTCAAGACTAAGACTGGCCAAATCAGTTTAGCCGTTTTCGAGTTTTGGCGGATCATTTAATCAAGAGCTCCATTTTTATATATAAGATTTTTATATATAAGATATATATATATATATATATATTTATATATATATATATATATATATATATATATTTAAGTAAGATACATCTTTCTGAAAAAACAGTCATACAAAAACTTGAGATAAATGCAAAATAAAAACACTCTCATTAAAAAATTTAGATATATTTTTTTGTTTATTCTTTTCTTTCCTTTATTCAATCAATCAATTTGATCAATTTCCTTCAACTTCTTCAATATCCTATCAGCTGCAAAACGTTTGGCCATTTTCTTCGTAGAAGCCGTACCAGTTTCTTTATGCATATACACCGAACATTCGATTGTGTATTCAATTGCAGTCAGTGGTGCTGTGGCTGCAACTAAATTATACTTGGGTTTCAGTATATGTTTTTCCCTACAAAACTTCCTCAACTGTCTTACGGCGTTATAATTAATTTTTGGAGATATTTCCTGCTCGAGTCTACTAGCTTCCAAAACTGACTGAAGGATATTCATTTCCAATAACTTCTCAAGGGCCAACCGAGCTGATTCCTGTTTAGCTTTCTTTTTACTGGATCCTGTTCCGATAATTTCGATGTAAACTTTTTGCAATGTCAGGGTTACTTGGTATTTGAACTGGGGATTCTTTTCCCTGGTTCCGTCTTCTATTAATGTAAATACAGGCAATTGGGCTTTGCCTTTTGCGCAAAGGTTTACTAGGGATTGGATATATGATACTTCAGCCATTTCACAAAGTTTAAATTAAATTTTCAAGTAAAAACACACAATGATCAATAATTTTGATCAACTGTTTCAATCCATAGGCTTATCAAGGTTCTTGATAATTTTTTTACCATAGATATAAAAGGTGGGAAATATATATATTTATTCTCATCAGACAATACTGTTTCAAAATAAGAATGAAGTTTGCTTATCTATGATGAAGTTGTTAACTTCTGATTGGTGCAGCTGATTACGGTTGATGTCCACGCTTAAATAAAATTCATTGTCAGAATCCAAAGATATTTCAAAGATTTTATTTAAAGATATTTTAATTATGATAAATATTATATTATTGTTATTATTAATAAAATGTACAAATAATATGTAAATATAAAATATGAAATTTGTTTTCATAATCTCTCATACCAGACACCCCTGTCTGACTGAGATATGAAAACTAGTGGGGTGTATGGCATCGTGCCTTAAGGCAAATTGCTGGAACTTCCCGTACCGTAATGAAATGTTCGAGGAATGAATGTTTTCAAATAGATTATTATAGATATTGTAACATTGTATAATATTTATAAGAATTATATAATTTGAATTGCAAAGTTAAAATTATTTGTTGAAAGTATATTAGAACTTTAGTCAGAATTAAAAATAAAATCTGAATTATTTTCGATATACAAAAAAACTAAAAAAAAATGATACATTTTTTTTCCTAAATAAATTATTTTGTTAAAACAAGCTGAAAGTTCTTTGAATCATTTGAATTGGACGCTTAGTTCTCACAAAAACTGCCATTTTTTGCACATTTAGCTCTGTATCTTCGAAATGGCTGGGCCTCCCATTGCCAAAAACGAATAATCACTTCTCCCAATCATTACGATATTATGAATGTTTTTTAGATCATTCAAATCTCATACTCCGTTCTCTCAAAAACTCGATTTCTATTTTCTGCACTCTTTGCTCCGTATTTACATAACGGCTGGACCTGCCTTTGCCAAAAACTAATCAGCACATTTCCCCATCAATAGGAATCGAATGTTTTTTGAACCATTCAAATCGGTTGTTCCGTGCGCCCAAAAACGTGGACGAAAAATTGTGTCCATACATACATACACACACACATCCATTTTTTCTGCGGTATGCCAAAATGTTCAGAAACCTTCAAAACGTCGAGAAATGCCAAAATTTTCAATTTCGATTTTCGGCCCATTACAATAACTTACCCTTAGGGAAGTTGATAAATAAAAAAAAATGATGAAATTAAACAAATTAAATTTATATAGTTATAGATGTTATAAGTATGTTTGTCAGACATCAATTGGAAATTGTATTGATTATTTTTAGGTAAAAGTGATAATTTTATTTTCGAAATAACATTTGAAAATTTTACCAAAATAGCATAATTTAAATTCTTCTTGATTATGCAACTTATAACTAGTTCAACATATTTCTTTTAAATCATTTCGTGTTCTAAAAATATATTTTAAGTGTGGACCCTCATAATAAGCATTCTAACTAGAATTCTAAACTTTGAAAAATTTAGAAACTATCGAAATTTTCAAAAAATCGATTTTTGTTTTCAAATATTCGAAAATTTTTGAAGTATATCACAATTTCAATAAAAGTTTTTTTTGAACTTCCCGTAGGGTAAGTTATTGTAATCGTCTATAGAGAATTTTTGCATTTTTTGCAGTGTGTGTGTGTATGTATGTATGGATACAATTTTTCGACCACGTTTTCGGGCGCAAGGATCAACCGATTTTAATGGTTCAAAAAACATTCGATTCCTATTGATAGGGAAATGTGCTGATTAGTTTTTGGCGAAGGCAGGTCTTGCTGTTACGGAGATGCGGAGCAAAGAGTGCACAAAATAGGAATCGAAGTTTTGAGAGAACGGAGTATCCGATTTGAATGATCAAAAAACATTCGATTTGTAATGATTGGGAGAAGTGGAGATTTGTTTTTAGCAAAGGCAGATCAAGCCGTTTTGGAGATACGGAGCTAAATGTGCAATAAATGGCAGTTTTTGAGTGAACTGGCGTCCGATTTGAATGATTCAAAAAACTTTATGCTTGCGTTGTCAAAACAAATGCTTTTGAAAAATAACAATTACTTCAAAATATTTTTTTTTATATATCGAAATTAGTTCAGATTTTAATTTTAAGTTCTAAAGCTCACTTATATACTTTAAATAAATCATTTTGACTTTGTAACTCAGTTTTTATAATTATTATAAATATTAGACGATGTTAGAGAGATTATTTATAAAAATCTCTTTGAAAACATTAATTATTCCTCGAGCATTTCGTTACGGTACGGGCAGTTCCAGTAATTTGCCTTAAGGCACGATGCCATACACCACTAGTTTTAAATTGGATTAATTGAATTTTGTTTATTTACTTTTCTGTAAACATATATAACTTACAATCTATTTGAAAACATTTAATATTCTTCGATCATTTCGTTATGGTACAGAAGAATTTGCTTTAAGGCACGATGCCATATACCACTAGTTTAATTTTGTTATTCAACTTAATAATTAAAGTGCATCTAATTGTTTGAATAATGTAGCCACTATTTCATAAAATTCGTAAAATTACAAATAAAATAGTAGATCTTGTACCTAGAAGTCTTTTTTATCCTGCCTAAGGTTTAAGGGGTATAAAAACAGAATAACAAATTTTTGAAAAATACAAAAAAAAATCATTTCTACAATGACGATTTAGCTCAGAATTTTACTGAACATATTTCGATAGTTGTTTCTTTGATATGTGTTATTGAAGTAAGACTTCTTTAGGCGCGACTAGGGTGGAAATCCTTACAAATGCAACGGAAGTCCGTTACGCCCGAACTGTTTGTCATTCGCTCTCGATGAGACCATTTGTATACGGGTCGATTGTGATTAGTCGTCGTTTATGGGGATAGAGATTTGTCGTTGTATGCGTACCGATATCAACAAGGAAATCGGCATAGATAAATAAACATTTAAAAGTTACATCGTAGTACAAATGTTGATTTAATGAAAAATGCCTGAATCAGAAGAATATTTTACCCTGTTCTTTGAAAATAATAAAAAAAAAATTAAACATTTGTGCCGTGTACTAAACGTAAGTTTATTGATTAGTAATTATTTCTATATTATTCGTAGTTTCTATAAATCTTTGAAGTTATTGAAATGGAAAATATTTTTTAGGCTAAACAGATATTACAGCTGTTCAAAGAATAAGATTATATCGCTAGCGAAAAAGTAAAAAAAATACAAGCAGTCAATGAATGTATGTTAATTTTAATTACATGAAGTTCTTCAAACATAATTATTACATGATGAGTAAAGTTACGAAAACAATTTTTCTTTTGGCGTTGTTTAACATAATCCACTGTGTGAACGAATATTATAGAATTTATTAATCAGCAATTACTTCATTTCTCTAATGAAGGTTTATTTGTAAATGCTTATTACAATGACAAACCGATCATGTCATATTTGAAGTATGACTTTAATTACCATATTATTTTTAAATATTATACAAATTTTTAATGCTATTATGAATATATAATTTACAATTTATCATTATATAAATGTGTATAATGGTCGACAGTAATAAATGTGTGCATCACGAGTGTTACCTCATTTACTAATAAACATTATTCAAAATTGTTATATGATGTATTTATTTTTACTTAAATGCCATCTTGTACAGTAGCAAATAAGTTTTACTTCAATCGCGTGTGAACCTTACGCTTACTCTTTTTTTGTTACTGAAGGACAAATTGGACCTTTGTGCCCCACCCTACCTTATTAATTAATGTTCTTTTGTTCCAGGATGCCCTAACTAAGTGTGGTTCTGTTATTTATTTGGAATCAAACAGGCGGGTCAATTGCACGTGGAAACAATTTTCAAAATATTATGATAAAGTGCGAAAATCGGAATCAGGTAAATTATTGAACAATATACAATATTTAATTTCTGTTAATTTTGATTTAATTCGTTTTTTGTTTCGTCTTTTTAGGTATTTTAGGATGGTCCACCAAACATGCAGTCTCATCTTTGACTCATCCGAAAATGTTTGAATATTTTCGGACATTGAACGATAACTTTTTATTTTTGCCAATGATGTCGGCAAATCCTCTCGTGATAGTAAACTCTGAAAAGATTCAGAAAGAAGTGATGTTACCCTGGGTCCAATGTACGCTTACCCAAGACTGCATCTACCCAATAGGTAAATGGAAATATTATTTATGAACCGATTCTGCCGCATAGCAGATAAATGTTATGGCAAGGCTGTGTTATGAAGAACTTTCCATACTAAATATTGACAAAAGCCATTTGGTTGCTGTGCAGTCAGGCGTTTTTCTCAGGTAGTCAGATACAAAACCTTACATAGAAAACCGCACAAATGTCCAGAAAACGATGTTAGATAACAGGGTCTTTCTGACCCAGCTTCATAACATACGCGTAACGTTGCAGTTTATGTGTAAAATGCCTGAATGCACCGTAAATACATGACATTTTGACAGTATTCAGTATGATTCAGTGGCATAATGTATGGAGGTTGGAACGTAACATGGCCTTGCCATAACATTGGTCTGTTGTGAGTCAGAATGGGTCCCTTGAAATTATTAACTTCCCGAAGGAGAACTTTATTGTATGTTTGGCCAAAAAATCCAATTTGCTAATTTTATGTTTATTCGACGTTTCAAGTCATTCTGGATCGAATGAGACCAAATTTGGAAAAAGTATGCATGTTTGTGTGTGAACAGATTTTTGACCTTTCGTCGACGTTTTCTCAAAAACAGCTGTGCCGATTTCAAAATTTTAAAAGCCGTTCGATTGCCTAGCCGTTTCTTTGTAATTAGCAGAAAAGTGAAATTTTTCTCACCATTCTGAATCGATTTTAAAAATTCAAAAACTTTTCGAAAAATATTGCTTGGAAATGATACTGATTATTTTTTGGTAAAAATCTGTCTGGCCGTTTTCTTGTTGAAAAAATTAAATCAAAACTAGTGGTATATGGCATCGTGTCTTAAGGCAAATTTTTGGAACTTTTCGTACCAAAAATTTGAAATTTTTAAAAAAGATTATTTTTTTAACTTTGAAAAAATTAGATTTTTGAGACATTTTAAATTTTTGAAACAAAAGACTGAAAAATTATTTTTTGTTTTGTTTTGGAAATTTTTCTTCAAAGGAATCGCGCTGCTTTACCTGCATAGAGACATATCGAAAGCATAGAAATATCGAAGCGCGTAAGCGCCGCGTCGCAGTCTAATGGACAAACGATGTTACGGAACCCATAGAAACGTAAACAAAATTTATACGTATTATTAAAATCTCCATAAAATATCTGATAATTTGATGTGCATATGTCTAATGATCATTTCTAATCAGCCAAATGGCATTTTTTTACTTTTTTTTTTACTAGATCTCCGAAACCGCTAGACCTGCTTTACCAAAAATTTAATCAGTTCTTCATCTTGTTAATACAAATGAAATGTATTTTGAATTATTCAAATCGCATACTTCGTTCTCTCAAAAACTCGATTTCTATTTTATACACTCTTTGCTCCGTATCTCCGAACGGCTGGACCTGTTTTCGCCAAAAACTAATCAGCACTCTCCTTATCAATAGGAATCGAATGTTTTTTGAACTATTCAAATCGGTCAAACCGTACGCCCGAAAACGTTGACGAAACATTTTATCCAAACATACACACACACATCCATTTTTTCTAAGGTATGCCAAAATGTTCCGAAACTTCTGAAACGTAAAGACACATAAAAATTTGCATTTTCGATTTTTCGTCGATTATTATAACTTACCATGCGGGAAATTAATTAAATCAAAATTAACTAAGTCAATTATTACATCTATCGGGAAGTTTTTGCAACTTGCCTTAAGGCAAAATGCCACTTTCACGACTTCCAAGAACAAAGAAGTCTATAAACAAGACTCTAAAAATGTCAAGTAAACTGGTCCAGTAGAAGTGGGGAAATCGTGGGTATCGTATCGAAAAAGACGGTTACCGAATTAAAGTTTCTTATTATGGTCAAACAGATCCGAAAATAGTTTGAATTTAGAAAAATCCTCTTGTACACATATATATGTATGTCAAGAATATATTTTTGAATAGATAAACTTTGACTATTAAAAGAAAAAAAGGTTTATTAAAAATTGTAGACTAGAATATCCCCTAAAGCCGCATCTTAAACTCCTCCTAATCGATATCGTGAGGGCCGAATTGTATGTATTCATCTTTTCTTTCCCATTTGTTGTTATAAAGGAATTTTAAAAATATTGTGGAAAGATTAGTAAAAGATGCAAAGAAATTATATATTGAAAAAAAAACTATTTTGAAAATTTAATATCCGAATTTTGTGTTGGCGCCCCCTAAGGCGTGCGCTCATCTTTTTCGCATGCATTGCATTAAAGGTAGGACCGGCCCTGATTAATACTTAATTTCATATTTCAAGTGAATTAATTTGTCATATCCTGTTCATATGTGTATCATTCAATGTGCCATACATATACTGTATTTTATATTATTTTAATTTCTGGCACATCTCAGCTGCTTTTTGGCAATAATAATGTAGACATTTCATTTTTCTTATTCATAATCATAAATTAATTATACATATTCTAATATTGTCTAGGTTCATAAGTAAATTGAAATCTTTGGCAGTTGATAGTTTTTATTTGTTTTCAATGAAAAGAATGACATGTCATTTTTGCAATTTTTTCCATTTATTTCTGCAATATTGCACATACATCCCAGTACTTTATAATCACATACATCCTAGAAAATTTTCTTAACACGCTACAGAAAGATTTTTCAAAATCCGAATAATCGTTTAGAAGGAGTATACAGTGAGTGCTCGTAATTTAATATGAACTTTGAATATAATAGATCAAATTGATTCTACGTTTTAGTAAGAGAACGTTGGGATGAGAAAAAGAAAAGGGCTGTTTTTAGAGTTTTTCCGGCAATTATTCGATTTTTTTTTGCCGTAAGAACCATCCTTGGACTTCAACGAACTTTTTAGAAAAAGGAATTGGCCAAATTGGTCCAAGCGTTTTTGAGTTAGGCGCTTACCAACACATTTTGCAATTCATTTTTATATATAAGGTATATTCACAGCATCAGAAGAGAATTCAAAGAGTTTAGAGGGCTAATTTTCAAAAGTTGATAACTTCATAAATTTTAACTTATGCGCCACACGAGCCCAACTAATGAACTTGCCGACTTGAATGATTGCACAATTAAAATAATCGAAAAATTTCCGTCTTCAAGTTTAATGAATATCCACAAAAAAATTGTCTATTATCTCTTTCCAGGTGCTCAGTCCGGTGGTTGTAGATTCGATAAAAAGCCCTTATACAGGTATAGCGGGTGCCATTCCTACGACACGTCTGCATTAAATATAGTTCTAGGACTTAGACATGGGTTAAACGAGACCCATTACTCGATGAAGACAGAAATCAGTCTGACCATTCCTGAAGAATCCGATGAAGATGCCGAAAGAGCCTACAGGCTGCTAAATAAAAACGCCACTGCATTGACGGAGACCGGCGAAACTTCAGCTGTGAATTGAGAATATTTGGTAACGGTAATAATAATAATTTTGTGATTTTTGTAATTATCTTTGAGTTAATTAAGCAGGACGTAATTTAAGTGACTAATGTGATAAAAGTTTTCACATGGAAATTACTGGGTTATACACCTATCCTCCGTTTTACACGGTACTCAACAAAACTGATTTACACGGTTACCCCGTTTTACACAATGATCTTTGTTAATATAAACCATGATTTGCTTATATCTACAATAATATTCTAGGGGGCAATTCTGCCGCAACAGAGCTCATAAAATAGCGTTGTCATGGCAACGCTCTCTTATGCTTGTTCTTGATATAGAAAATTATGAAAATATCTATCTATTCTAGGCGTATTTTATATATAAACAAGCAAGGAATAACCTTATTCTTTGCTTTGTTACATACATTATTCCTTGCTTGTTTATATGTAAAATACGCCTGATTGTGCGGCAAATAAATAGACATAATTTTCAATACCAAGTACAAGCATAGGAGAGCGTTGCCATGACAACGCTATTTTTTGAGCTCTGTTATTGCAGAATTGTCCTATTAATAGTTTTACTGTCAAAATACAACACTACAAAATGTATCTTGCAGTTACGAATTTACGAAATAAGTAAATAAGACCAGAAATCCCCGTTTTATGACCAAAACTAAATTTATTGTGTGCATAAGCTAGTTTGTTTGAAATATCAGAAAAAAAGAGCAACATTGTTCTTAAACTTTGTGTTTAATTGCTGTTCATATATAATTGAGCGTAAATTTATTCGAGGAGAGCAAATAACAGATTCAATTTTTACGAAATTTTTAATCTTTTTTAACGAAATTTATTAATTTTGCATTTACACGAAATTATAAACACTAAACTTATAATTTGCTTATACCTACAATAACATTTTAATTGTTTTACTGTTACGATTTTTTTGTAGTCTATGTCCATGATGGAAATAGGTAGATAAGACCAGAATTCACCGTTTTATGACCAAAACTAAATTTATTGTGTGCATAGGCTAGTTTGATTGAAATATCAAAACAAAGAGCAACATTGTTCTTAAATTTTATTTTTAATTAGTGTTTATATATAATTTATAGCGTAAATGTATTCAAGGCGAGCATATAACAGTTTCAATTTTTACGAAATTTTTAATCTTTTTTAACGAAATTTATTAATTTTGCATTTACACGAATTTTTAAACACTAAGCTATAATTTGCTTATATCTACAATAACATTTTAATTGTTTTACTGCTACGAATTAAAAATATGTAGATAAGACCAGAAATCCCCATTTTATGACCAAAACTAAATTTATTGTGTGTATAAGCCAGTTTGTTTGAAATATCAAGACAAAGAACAACGTTGTTTTTAATTAGTGTTTATATATAATTGAGCGTAAAATTCAAGACGAGCAAATAACAGAATCATTTTTTTACAAAATCTTTAATTTATATAATAAACGATATAAAAGTAAAAGACAGGTTATATCTGAAAACCAATTTAAATTTTTATCTATAAAGAAAATGCAATATTGAAAATATTTTCCTTTATATTTGTTTTATTATTGAAATAAATGAATTTTTTTATCATTTATTAAATATGTTTGATATCAAGTATATTTATATTTATTTTTCGTTAACTGACAAAAAAGGCTTTTCCATAGTGATTTTCGTTTAGCACGGTTTTTCTATATAAAAGTGACTTTTTTGAGTTACACATTTTTTTCTGGAACGTATTTACCGCGTAGAACGGGGAATAGGTGTATAGTTGCTTTTGTGAACAATAGGAATTTTGCATTGTTTTCAACACATTCACTGTTGCGCACGCATATGGTGCGTGAGATTGTTGCAGAACGCAACAGGAGAGTTTTTTTGTTTGTTTATTGTTTGACTTTGTATACACGTACATTATCCAGATATCTTTACAATTTAATATTATTCGAGTTCGCGTTTCTTGCACTTCAAAGTAGTGTTTTTGGTAAAAATCAAATGTTTGAATTGAAATTTTATACTGTAATTATTTTAAACAGATAACAGAGCTATCTTATCCTGCTTTATGGTCCATTAATCACGTGATCGAGTTTTTAAGTACTTTGGAGCCCCCTACCTTGTGATATTTAAAATTATCCCCCCCATTATTATTATTATACATTACGTGTATTTTTAGTTACGAGAAAAAATTGTTTTAAAAAGTTTTTTTATTTTTTTTGAAAATGTTTGGATTTAAAAAAAAAATTAAGATTAAATACATGTGATTCCTTACTTTACCCTTCCTTTCCCCAAGTGATATTTTGTTATTTTTTGTCAAACCCCCTTCCCTTTCCATAAAAACCTCTCGTGATTAATTGATGCCCCATTTCTTGGTACTAAAAACTGTAAAAATGCTATCTATTTGCTGTACGATAAGGCGCATTTTACATATAAGCAGACCTAGAAAGAATGTTATAGTTGCATCTTTGTGATACGCATTTATAACGTACGGTTTTATGTGTAAAACGCCTAATCGTACAGCAAATATATAGCATTTTCACAGTTTTTAGTACCAAAAAAGACGGATAGGATAGTTATGTATCACAGAATTGGCTCCTTAGTTATACTATTTCAGTAGTTTTTTTATAATTTGCATCGAACATCTCCAGAAATGGTTTTATTTAATGTTAAACTAATAAAAAAAATGGCACAGGGGAAATATAAATACCAGGTTAGCAGTGAATGTGTTAAATAAATTATTTATGACGAGATTGAGAAGTTATGAATTTGTGAATACAATAATATTTGTTGATATTGAATTTAAAGTGCAAAATTCCTATAGTCATATGTTTTTTTTTACATTTTAATTTTGCAAATTAGCTTTGCAACGACCACAGTAAACTTAAAAAGTAGCGTTTAAATGTACTATAAATGATCTGCCTTTTATAAACACACACAGGCTTTTTAAAAAATTATATAAGTTAAGAATAAGGGACCGATTCTGCCGCATAACAGAAAAATGTTATGGCAAGGCCATATTATCAAACTTATTTAATACATTATGCTACTGAATTATACTAAATACTGTCAAAATGTCATGTATTTGCTTTGCATTTAGGCGTTTTACACATAAACTGCAACGTCACCCCCGTGTTATGAAGCTGGGTCAGAAAGACCCATCGTTTTTTTTTTGACATGTGTGCGGTTTCTAGGTTTAGTTTTTGAGAAATTCGCCTGACTACACAGCAACCACATGGCTTTTGTCAATATTTAGTATGGAAAGTTCTTCATAACATTGCCTTGCCATAACATTTGTCTGTTATGCGGCAGAATCGGTCCATAAGTATACTATTCAAAACGCTTACTCTTAACTTTCAATCGATTTTACTAAAACACGGTAATACTTAAGATGTTTGATAGGAATTTTATAGGCTGAATGTGAACACCACACATGAACAAGTCCATATCAATTTTATTAATTGTCGGAAGTTAATAATATAATACTCAATTATCTGATAGATTTTTTATAAGAATTGGAATGTAAGGCGAGATGAGTTATTGGAAACATATATTTTGATAAAGGATTTCAAAAGTAATTTTGAACTTTCCAAAGGACATTTTTATTTTTCATCATAAAATCCAATTTGTCAATTTTATATTTTCTCAAAGTTTTGACTAGTAGATGTGTCAATTTGAATTCTTTGAATCAACTTGATTCGATTCATGCGAGATGTTCGATTTTTGATTTTGATCAAAATGAAACGAATCATTCAAGTCATTTGACATCTGATCAGAATCGAAATGAACGAAATCATACCAGTCGTTTTATTTGTGATTAGAGTAGAAATCATCCGAGTTCGATTTGTAATCCAAATTCAAATCAATCGAATTATTCGAGTCATCAGACTTCTAATTTGAATCGTACGAGTCATCCCAATTCTGATTCTAATGAAATTGAGTCGAACTTCTGATTAGAATCGAAATAAACTGAATCAAACCAGTCATTTCATTTGTGAATTGAATAGATATAAACGAGTCATTTCATTTGTAATTTGCATAAAAAAATGAATCAAATTTCGAGTCGTCTGACTTCTAATTCGAATCATAATGAATTGAATCAAATCAGTTATTTCATTTTTGATTCGGATAGCAATACGCCAAATCATCTGAATCCAATTTGTGATTTAAATCATTCGAGTCGTTTGACTTTTAATTCATATAATAATGAACCAAATTATACGAGTCATCCCAATAAAAATGAATTGAATCATACGAGTTATCCCACTTCTGATCAGAATCAAAATGAACTAAATCAAACCACTCATTCTATCTGTAAATTAAATAGAAATAAACTGCGTCATTTGATTTGTATTTTGCATAAAAAATGAACCAAATTTCGAGTCGTCTGACTTTTGATTTGAATCATAATGAACCAAATATACAAGTCATCCGATTTCTGATCCTAATAAAATAAGCCGAAAACCCAATTTGTCATTTTATATTTTTTCAACGTTTTCACTAGTGGATGTGTCAATTTAAATTCTTTGAATCGACTTGATTTGATTCAAATCATACGAGTGTTTTGACTTCTGTTCAGAATCAAAATTAACTGAATCATACTTAGTCATTTGATTTGTGATCCAAATCCAAATATCTGACTTTTAATTTACATCATAACAAACTAAATCATACGAGTCATCCCACTTCTGATCCAAATCATTCCTGTTATTCCATTTGTGATTTGAATAGAAATACACCGATTCATTCGAATCTGATTTGTGATTCGAATCCAATCGAATCGAATCATTCGAGTCGTTTTACTTCTAATTGGAATCATATGAGTTATCCCACTTCTGATCGAAACAAAGTGAATTGAATGGAAATACACGATTCGAATCTAAATGAATTAAATTTTGAGTCATTTGACTTCTACTTCGAATTATAATGAACCAAATCATACAAGTCATCCCATTTCTGATCCTAATCAAAATGAAACGAAAACCCAAATTTGTGAATTTTATATTTTTTCAACGTTTTCAGTAGTGGAGATGTCAATTTAAATTCTTTGAATCGACTTGATTTGATTTAAATTATAATTTAAAATCATGCGAATGTTGTGACTTCTGATCAGAATCAAAATGAACTAAATCATACCGAGTCATTTAATTTGTGATCAAATTCCAAATGAATCGAGTTGTCTGACTTTTAATTTAAATCATAATGAACATAATCATACGAGTCATTCCACTTCTGATCCAAACCATTACCAGTTATTC